CCGTATTTCGTACTTCGTACTTCAGAAGTACGGAGAAGTACAAAAAAGTACGAAGAAGTACGAAGAAGTATCAAGAAGTACGGAGAAGTACCAGAAGTACAGAAGTATGCTTTTTCCCCCTTGGGAAAATGCCAGAATTTTTTGTTACTGCTCTATAATATCGGCATAGAGAGGCTTACCTGCGAACGGTGAGATAATGCGCTGATGTCGTTAATAAAGAAGATAGTGATTCCACTTCGATGCCAATGAGAGGATTTATTTATCTTTCGAGGTCTGTGCTCGACGTGGCCAAGTGTTACGGAATTCCGTTTTCTTCTGTTCCATAAGCTCTATTTCTCAAACGGTTAAAGGTGACGCTCTGAAGTTTTTATCATAGATAGAAAATGCCGAATTCTACTTCTAAAAAGTTTTTTCCTTCGATTTGATTCGGCCTGACAGAAGTTATAAGCAAAATAGAGGTCTTTACGAAATTTCCAAAATGGACTGCTTTTAAACATGTGTAAAGTTTCGCATTTCTCTCTGCACTCACATACAGGACAAAGAAAAGAAAAGTTGTGCAGTTTACTCAGTGAGAAATATTTCCAATAGAAACGGATGCTTCTAGGTCCGTTCTATTCGATGCAGTTCAAAATAAAACTCCCAGACTGCGTGAACCTGCTGGAAAACTCCTTTTGAAAACTGGTCGTTTAAAAAATCCTTTGACTTGTAAACTTTTTTCTGAATGACAGAACTTCGAAAAAAATGATGCGGGCAAATTGAATTTCCTATCGATGGGCGTAGCTTTAAATTTTCTGCAAGAAAGTGTCTGCGTCAGGAAATTGAAATTAAAAAATTTCAATAATTTCAACGTAAATTTTCATCTTTACAAAACATGTACATATTTAAGCTATAATAGCCACATTGCAATTTAAATTTATTTCTCCTACTCTAGTCGACTGAAATTACGGGAATCAAATACGATTCATGAAAGAAGTATATACGACGGAGGACTTAAATGCGTACTCTGGTTTCAAGATTCTTACAAAGTGCAGTATAAGGAACTATAAAGGTTCTTAGGTAATTCTGGTAATATTTGCTATATAGTTTTTTTATGAGATATTTTTATAAGATTCATAAAGAGAGGTTTCGTTCTTACTTTCGTGAGGTGACTTCTTTCTCAAAACATTGATTAACAAAATAAAGCGATTATTTTCTTCTTCATCTCTCAATTCTTTTTTCAAACTATTGATATTAAAAATTTCGTTTTGCTACGGCAGTTTAGAAACCGTTTCTTTATTCTTTTATTTCAGTGCCTCCGATGAACAGAGAGTAGCGATTTATAGCCATAACTTTGTAATCATATAATGATTATGCGATTGTCAACTAGCGTCCCATGCAGCATAAAAATTCACCGGCGTGAAAATCAGCTTTTACGGCTGGTCTCGCTGTTGTTCCACCCAAACCCCTGCCTTTTCCTATTCTAGTTTCTTTAACTTCACCATATATCCCTGCTAATCTGTAGTTTTCAATACGTAACTACGCAGAGGCCTGTGAGTAGACACCGTGAAACCGAAAACGTGTCATTACTACAGGATATGTTTAAAAAACGCCTTTTTTGTGATAAGATACCACAGGGGTTGACAAGACTTTTCCATCTTAACCCACATCTGAACGCTTGAAATCCCTATACAATCAATCGCCGATCAATTACAAGATTAGTTTTTGGGATAAAGGAGAGACAGCACAATATCAGATATCATCTAGTCGCAATAGGCGAAAAATCGCTTCCTTCACGAATTTATTTGCAGCGTCGGGAATAACGCCCCCAGCAAAACCTGAACGAATAAGCAGCAGGAGAGTAGCAACAGTTAAGCGTTTAATGTGCTCTGATACTAATAAATACAACAACAAGTTAATTCTACTATTAACACGGTCCTATGTGCAAATTCCACCGATAGTACTTCTAATAGGTTCCCTTCTGATGGATTTTCATATGCCGGTCAGTGACTTTTGAATAACTCAAGAACGAAAGGCGATAGATACTTCTCGTTTTTGCGCTTCGTTAGGCCAAGACTTTAAACTATGTTTTAGTAACTAAAACAAAGTTGAAAGTATGTCTCAATGACCTGTTTTCTAGAAGATCACTAGAAAACCGTTTTGTAACTCTAAACGATAAAGTAGCAATAGATTGATTTTCTTATGAGTAAGTAGCCTAAAGTGTCCCCTTCAAAAATGGGAGCCAAGCGAGACTTGGATTTTGAGTGATTTGGACGTGGTATCTGATTTCCATGGAGCACCCAGGACTGGCACTCAGTGGCTTCCAGTAACCTTGAAAGAAAAAGAGAAGTACATATTCGATCGTGCTAAATCTGGTGGCAGCGTGTATTTTATTTTGCTGTATGTTAGTCATCCCCTTTCGAGGTTACTACCTCTTATAGTCATTTTATTTCTACTATGATTTGTATTTAAAGATGAAATTTTCTATATGAGAAACTCAAGATATTTTAACTTAACAGTCTAAACAGTTGCCGAAAACCAAGATTTAATCCCTCAAAAAACAATCACATCAAGTTCCTTCCTACTTCGGTTTTTGTTTGTTTGCTGTATTGTAAATCGAAACGTCTGAGTGAAATTTGTTTCTTTTTTCTTTTAAAATTTCATGTAAAACGATGATCACAACAATACAAAAAGAAAATCTTTTGGATGATGATGATAATAATAATCATCAACATAAAATATGGCATATGAAGACATTGAAAGTTTTGATGTTCATATCAGAAAATTAAGACCTGAAATAGTTAATGAAAAACGAAGAAAAAAACAATTTTATTTATTGACCTCATCGCCGGGCAATGAGATCAAATCTGATAAATGAAAAAAGTCTTCCAAATGTTCGTTTTCACTAATCCAGTTTTTTATTTTGCCTGTTCGATACGAGCATCGGCCATGCCAATTTAATAAACGTCGATAAGGATAAATATCTTTTGGTAATACCATAACAGCATTATCAATGTCATCAAACGTTCGAGTTTCATCAGAGTTTCATCGCACTTCTTTATCATCAACGACAAATAGATTTCTTAGGTCATTGCACAACAGTTTTAAACGTAAAACACCGGCAAATGGATCATAAATGAAGCAAAGTATTTTTAGAATCAAATGCTTTTTCTACCGATTCGAATAATAAAAGACCATTTCGTTCATTATTCACGTCCGCCTCTTCCAACCGAAATTCAGTTAGCCCAACTCCGTGAGTGGCTGCTTTCCAAATAGGAGCTGCACGTACGAGGCCTCTATCGAAGTATTTATTCATAATCATACATTTGATTGTTTTCGTATTCGTGGAACCACATTCATAATATAAAATCAATTTATTTTTGAAGTCTTGTTGCTCATCCTTTGTTCTAGTAGAACTCGAGTCCCAACAATCTAATTCTTTTTTTATCCGGCATCTACTTTTCTTGTAATAGATAAAAAACTTTGATTGATAAAGATTGTATTTCTGCAGCCGAATGTAAATCGATCAGTTTTTCTTTTTGAAGTTCTAATAATCTAATTTGTTCGCGTATATGAAGAGCTGATTTAACATAATAATCCCGTAGTTCATCGTTTTCACATGTTTCCATTTTCGATTCGTATTGCTTGATAGATTGTCCACAAGCTTCAATATCTTGTCTAACGAGGGAACATTCCCAGGTGCCGGAATCCGATTTCGTCCGTTCATGTGTCGATCGATAGGTCCTATTGAGGTGTGAAAAAGCCTCAAAGGATATCTGTCCGATTTGCTTCCTTCCAAAGTTACACCCGTTTTTCTGTTTTTCCCAGCGAAAAACGCACTACATTGAAAAATTCATAACTCAGTCAGTTTTTTCAATATCCGCTTGAAACTTTCATCGAAAACAGATGACCTGGTCTAGTAGTTATGCTGAAAGTTTCAGCCTTCAACTGCGTTTCCTTTCCGAGATACAGAATTTTTCGTTCTTCAAGCGATTGCTGTGCCAATTACATAATCACTTTGAGCGTTCGCGGCAGATATCTTTCGAATAACCTTTTAAATACTTTTCCAGGACTCTATACAGTGCAACACGTTTGCTTCCTTCATAAAGACAGTTAGACGTAATGAAAGAAAGTTTAATGGAAATGATAACTATCAAAAAAGTCAATGAAACAGAAAACTTTGGAACAATAAGCACATTGAATGAAGGGAATGTTTGTACAGTTTTTCGAATTGCAGTGGTGTGAGTCGAAGGAGAAACAGATTTGCTGTACTTTAAGTGGTAAGAAACCATGAGATCCGTTTACATGACTAAAATCAGCTGATTAAAAGAAAAGTGACAGTGATCATGTAATTGGCACAGCAATCGCTGGAAGAACGAAAAATTCTGTATCTCGGAAAGGAAACACAGTTGAAGGCTGAAACTTTCAGCATAAATACTAGACTAGGTCACCTGTTTTCGATGAAAGTTTCAAGCGGATATTGAAAAAACTGACTGAGTTATGAATTTTTCAATGTAGTGCGTTTTTCGCTGGGAAAAACAGAAAAACGGATGTAACTTTGGAAGGAAGCAAATCGGGCAGATATCGTTTGAGGCTTTTTCACACCGCAATAGGACCTATCGATCGGCACATGAACGGACGAAATCGGATTCCGGCACCTGGGAATGTTCCCTCGTTAGTAGGAACAAAAAATCAGGAATTAGCATGCGAGGAGATTTTAGATCAATTGCCCGATGATGCTGTATATTTATATCTTGACTGGGCAATGCGATACTCGCCGCGTAAACGGAGAGAAGCTCAGTCATACTACTTTGCCAAGACAGATCTTAGGTGGCAATAAGAGGCCCTCACCTAAGACTTTTTTTGGCTATTTACACGAAAAGTTAAAAAATTGATAGCTCATTTAAAATCGATACAAACTACTGTCAAATATCTTATCTACATTACACCTACGAACTTGATTAAAGCTAAAAGAACCAATAGAAAGTACCTGAACTTTTCAGAAAGCTCTTCTAATAATATCTTTAAAAGTAAGAGGATGCTTTTACTAATCTGAAATACAGAGTCGGATCGATCTATTAAAATATATATAACACGTACACAGCTGATTATTGCAATCCACCAAATAAACCAAGAGTTACTATTTTCTGTTTATCCGAGTGAATACATTCATTTTTATGAGATGACTAATATTGAATGTTATAAGTGATCAAAAGCAGCGCTATTTATCAATAATTATGCACATAATAGCTATGAACAAATCTTGCACTCTTCACTCTTACATTCGTCCGCGCTTTCAGGTCAAAATAAAACAAAAAACGAAAACTTAACTTCTAACTTAAAAATTGGAATATAATGATGTACAGTTCGTTTTTAATGATAACTCTAACTTGATCTTCGTTTCAGTTGTTGTGACATTTCAGAAAGTAAAATCGGTTCAATTTTCAATATGATTTCCAGTGACGTCTTGACGAAAATATTTATATCTGCAGTTTCAATTTTCTCAATTCCACTGTATCGCTAAGAGATCCATCCCTCAATGTTGTTTTAGGTAACAGCTTGTCTGTAAAAGAGATGTGGTTCAACTTAGATATCTTGAACAGATGAAATAAAATCGTATACTAGCAAATAAGCATTATTAGCTTCCTTTCTCAGTGTATGCCCTAACTATCTTTCTGTTCCATGTTAGACAGAATAGAGAGAAAGAGGATATAGATGACGCAAAAAGTTTTCATTCTCTAGTCAACTAACGCTCATCGATTAACCTCATCGTCAATTCGAAGAACTTGGTTTCGGCAAACTAAACAATGATGTAAAGAATAGGTATTTCACGGTCGATCGTCGGGTTCACATGTCGGCTGAAGTGCCACACATTACTTCAATTTAGAGAAATGCATACAAATGTTTCGCTTTCGGGAGCTCTCTACAATCTTGCTAAGCCTGTGCACTTCACTGCCACTAGAGCTAGCACGACAACACTATAAGAGATGCATACCTAAAGTGGTAACTTCTTGAACGTACTGGTCGAACCGCACTATGAAGGTTACGCCAGGTACCTCGACTCGTTTCGCTCGTCTGCGAGTCGAGAAAACTATATCGGGCATCCAAGGTACGGAGAACCTTTTGTGGATCATCTAGAGGCCTCGAGGAATAGGAACCTACTCTTATGATAGAACGGAAGTTGAACAGGTAAAAGTCCAGAAACTCCCAGGGTCTCAAGCCGGTCTTCATAGCCGATTACCTCTACAGTAGAAGTTTCACGACTGTATGTCTCTCTACAGCAATAATATGCGGTTTCTGTCTTGCTAATAAGCAGACAGACAGTTACATGAACTCCTGTGACACCAAACTTTTAAATCAATTATCCATAGGCATTTTGTAGCATTTTTTTCACGCTACTGATTTCACTACGAAAGATTTGAACGCAAAAGTTGTATCATAGAAAAAAAGAGAAATGTACACAAGATAGTTGTATATATTATCTCGATTTATATACAAAAAAGATATTGTCTTCAAACCTCGGTGTTGGTAAGTCATGGAACAATAACAAGCAAATTACTCTGATTCTACAACTCACTCACTGCGTTGTGAGTAGAATTCAGCTACTTCAACTAGTTTTCGTGGCATCCTGTACACCGAGTTGTTCTTCCTTTCATCTTTTGCCCGTTAATTCTCAGTACTAGCTATCATAAACAAATTAGTATATAACATAGCG